AGAAAAATTTCTTAATACACGGTTTTAAGGAAATCTACTTCTCTACTACTTGGATATACTCAGTCTTTGATGCTGAATCCGAATATGTAATTAAAGTTGAGTTTTGAACAAGGTTTCAGGGTGAAATCTTCAATTTTCTAGAAAAGTGTGAAAAGTTCACTTTTTGACTGCTGCTTAGTATTTTCAAGATTTCTCAGCCAAAGCTTGATCAAAATTCAATTTCAAATAGATATTTGGAATCTACTCCTCAGACTCTATCCAACGATGTATGTTTCAAAAAAATCTGATGATGCGTGAACGTTTCGAATTTCCCGCACCTTACGTAGATAATAGTAAATATAGTATTAAGCAGAAGTATGACAGTTCAATAATAGTTTCGACATGAGAAACTAATCGAAACAATCTCTAACCAAAGCTGATGAACCCGATGTTAATAGGTCATCTACAGATGTTCGTTATTATTGCTTTTCAGCGGCTGTCTAAGAGTAATGTTTTCCATCACTTTTCAAGAACTACCTGAAGATGATGCCCATGTTAGACAAATTTTTGATACAAGTTGATTAAAGCAAATCTTAAGTGGTTTCACTTAATCATCAATTCTGATTAAAAAAATGAGAAGTTACCAAGTATTTGGTAATATTAAGTCTTACAGGGTCACTCAATACTAAATTAAAGGAACTATATTATTTTTGTTTCACGATGTACTTGAAATTAGGTGATTAAGTAGGTAGCGCCGATAAATAACATTCGATTTTGATAGTATTCTTATAGAAAAGTATTTCTTTTGAGAAATAACAACTTTCTGTAGAGCTTTATCACAAGCTTTTTCAGACACTTATCGTTTTTCAATTCAATATTAGAAAAAAAGGCTTATTCAAATATTTCAAAGTAGCTTGATATTATTAATACGATAAAAATCTTCTATTTAGTTAAAGATAATTGAAAGAAGATATATTCTTTATAATTTTCTTGTATTGTTTAAAGTTATCTTGATATAAATGTAATCCTCATGGTTCATGATTTTCAATCTAGTTAAACAAGAGTCAACTTCTATTGTGACTTGCCCAAGTAATGAAATTTAGATCAAAGTTTCTTCTATTATCAACTGAATATATTCCTGATAGCGAGAAAGATAGTATTAACAAATAAAAAAAAGTGATGAACAAGAAATAATGAATCATTTCAAGAAAAAAAATGAACTACCAGAAATACACAATTACATTTTGTTCATAAGAAAAAAATGAACGATTTTCAACACCGATACAAAAAACGTGAATAATATTGATTATCAGTAACAAACCAAAAAGAATTTTCACTATCAACGCCAAACAAGACAAAAATAACTTTCACTGAAACCATCCAGAACAAAAAACTTAATATTGTAACTGATGGATAATACATGAACAACTGCTAAACAAAAAAAATTTCGAATAAATGAATAAACAAAAACATTATATAGGATGTTTATAAAGATCATAAACAAATTATCAATACGAATAGCTTCATTCTGATTAAACTTAGTTCAATATTTTCTTTTATCAGAGATAGAAGATCATCAACTTCTATTCTAAACACCAGGGTGCATGCAAGTTGTTTTAATACTAGCACTTTTGAGAGCAATACAAAAAATTAAGTATCTCTTTTGTCTCATACAACAAAAGACGACATTGTTTTTCTTGTACACTTATTTCCATATGAATTGTTCTTATGACCTTCAAATCTTTTAAGATTACTTTAAAAATATATTTATAGAATAAAAAAATTTAAAAATTTAAAACTAATAATAACGATGTGTATTATTTTATAAAACAAGAGAAATACTTAATTTTTGTATTAATGTTAAAAGTAATAGTCTTTAAACAACGTGCGTACATTCTTGCATTCAGAATAGAAACCGATGATCTTCTACTTTTGATAAAAGATAAATATTAGACTACGTTTAGTCAGTATGACATTGTTCGTAATAATAAAGTGTTTATGATTGTTAAAACCTCCTATACATGAATTGTAGAAAAAAATCGAATGATAGTAACAACAAGAGAAACAATCTGAAAGCTATTCAATAGTTTTATTCAAGTTTATCGAGTAGATGTCGATTTTTTAAAACGAGTAGGTACCGAAGAGTACGAGATGAAAGTCCTGATCTTTGTTTACGATTAAGAAAATTGGCCACGCTGAAGAGTGCTTCACTAGCTATCGAAGTAATAGGTGAGATATTTGTTCGTCTTACAAGACGAGCGAGACGTGGTAGTAATTTCTCGTTCGATGACCAAAATTCTTGAAAACTTGTAGCTGTTCGAACAGATTGAATATACGTGCTTAACTCTTCATCAAGAGTTATTGATTGTTGAGATATTGATGATGATGTAAAGGATACAGCATGACCACATATAATTGCTAATTGATACAAAGGATTTGATTGATTTGCTGTTGAGTTTGTTGAAGTTGGTGGTAAGTTTACATTGATAGCAGCTGTATTTTTCAGTTTCTTGAAAATAAGCTTTTTTGCTGTTTTTCGATCGTTGTCGTTTAATAATGGATAAGTCTTTGGATCCAAGAATGCTGCAATCTAAATGTACAAAAAGATCTACATAAATTACAGATATCAACAACAATGACCGAAAACCATAGATTTTGAATATTACTCTTTAGTTACGGAGAAAAAGACACAGTCATGTGTTTTAATATCTATTCTGATTGTAGAGATTTTCCGACAAAGTAAGAACTTTTTTATTTATCATTTTTCCAGCTAATGTGATGACTCCCGAGAGAGAGTCTGGAGTCTTCACATGGCAAATCCGTAATACTTCCAACGAAGACTTTGTATAGAATCACTCTTTCTTTTTGCATAAACAATTGAATCTCAAAATGAAGAATTTGATAGAAAGATTTAAAAATACCATAATAAGGTCCTGAAAAGTGTCTCGCTACATGTATAGCACGAATTGGCTTAGAAAGTGCATCAGTCCTATGAAACGCTTGTGACCACAAATTAGCAAACAGATTGGTATGAGTTTTGAGAAAATTTTATCAAGATTCACAGGAGTATTCGAAGATCTTAAGATTATGATTTAAATATATTTTCAGTTATTTCTAGCTAAAACAATATTCAGAGGCTTATGGAATTCAAATAAAATCAACTAATACTGGAGTATTTTTCAGTTGTACAGGAGCTTCAAAATTTTAAATGGATCGTCCTACAGATATAAACTAGAGATCTTTCCTACGAAATTTTTATTAGATACGTAAGTAGAAAAATGGTTCGACATGGAAGATACAAAATCATTCAGATTTTATATGAACGTTTACAGGATTTCTAGTGAATTCCAAGAGATTTGTACTGAATTCGAAAAGCTTAGTAAAAAACATGAATGATTTTGTATCTTCCATATCGAACCATTTTTCCACTTACGTATCTAATAAAAATTTCGTAGCAAAGATCCCTAGTTTATATCTGTAGGACAATCCATTTAAGACTTTGAAGCTTCTGTACAATTTAAAAAGACTTTACTATTGAACTAATTCATTTTAGAGTATCTTATCACATATGACTTCAATCTTCGATACTCTATATTCATCTGGAAGAGCAGCTCAACTTTGATGTTTGGCGATTTGCTTGTTTAAAAAGATTTGAAATAACGAAATTTTTTTCTTTCAAATATATCCTTTTAGTAAAGAAAATTTATCTCTTTCCTTTAATATTAAAATTACTTTGGAAATCTTTCTTAAGTGAATAGCGGTGAGAATTGTATCCAATTAAAATGATCGTCTTTCACTAGAAACAATATCCAATAAAATACTTTTTATAATCGTTAAATAGGGATCACTTGTTAGTTGAATAACTTTCTCAATCTTTGTTTAACTGTAAAAATCATAAAGATAGCTAGTTTTTTCATTGAATTAAGACAGAAGTCAAAAGAAAGAGAAACATCTTACCATCATTGTTTCAATTTGACCTGGTGGTAATTTACTATTACAATACATATCGAACCGAAATCGAAGACTTTCTTTTAATGCTAATAATACAGGTTCATCATTTAAGTTTGAATGAAGATAATGTGATAAAAAACACCATATAAGATATGATGAAGCAATTGTTGGATAATATTGTCCTGAAAGGGCATTCGTTGATACATGAAATGGTTGAAGAACATCTCGTATATGAACCAGTAAATCCCATTCATTTTGTTTCAGTTTTAGCTCATCGAGCTTTTTCTTTTGTTTATCTGTTAAACCATTGAAGTTGTTAGGAAAAGCAAAAACACTATTTACAATATCTGTATGTGCCAGTAAACGATGAAGAAGTAAATGAGAGCTATTCCAACGTATAAGCATATCAAGAACAAGACCACCAATTTTTTCTTTTTGTGTTTTGTTTTTTAATTCAACATGTTTAACTACATATGCATTAGTATCATTATGATTTCGAATAAACTTCACACCAGCCCTTGTTTTCTTCATTAAATTGAATACATCCAAAAGCAACTCATAATGATCAGTTGATGATAACTTGTTATCATTGATAGTAAGTGATGAAAAATTAATATCATCATCAGAATCACTTTCAAATTCATCATCGTTGGTATCATTATTACTTGTATCATTACCTTGATTTGAATTATCATCATCATCATCGTCCTTATCCTCATCACTAAGCAAATCCGTGGCTACTTCAATTAAATTTTCATCAATATCGGATGCACCATTATCAATATCATCAATATCTTCCCATTCATCAGAATTGGAGTTAAGAACCAATGGAAAACTAAAATACAAAGACAAAATTGCTTGATGTATAGATTTATAATAGTAAAAAACATTCCAATCTGTGAAAACTAATTATTAGAGTCCAGGGGTGTCCCGACCCCCCCCAATTTTGAAAAAACTTTCGTGTTTTCTCCGCAGGGACTTGTTGAAATTTTTTTGGTCTTTTATCAAAAGTCTTATCTAATTGTGTACTACATTTACCACTACGAAAAAAAACTTTTGTGCTAACACTGGAAGAAAAAATGTTTTTTTTTACCCCCCCCCAATTTTACTATGCTCGGGACACCCCTGTTAGAGTCTTAGATGATGAACTGCTCTAAATATTCAAATTCACACTAGTGCTAATGTTTATTTATTAGATTCACTGACTTCTTTGACTTGCAAGCAACAAAGATCGACATATAGCAGTTATGTCATTCATTTCGGATGGAGATAAGGAAGATTTAGAAAACAAAGAATACAGTTGTTAAAAATCGTCATTTTAGACTTACAACATCGTTGTTTTTAGATTCTTGAATCTTCTTGAAGGAATTTTTTGTATTAAAATTAAGATAATTAACCCTCGTACTCCCAACCAGGGTCATTTTGGACCCTGTTCTCCGATAATGAGAAAATAAAATGAAAATAACTCTTCGTCACGAATCAGAGTACGAGGTTTTTAAGAACGTTCTAGAGCCATATCAGAAGAAAGAAAAATAGGTGTGCCATATAGGAATAATATAATTTCATCTGGTATACCCATTCAAAAGTTAAAAATCACCGTTTGGATAAGGTATACTCTAGTTTGTGTCTAAAGTAGGCTTTAGAGTACTAGGGTTAATAAGATAAATAAAGATATCCAAAAATCCAAGTATAGTAGTTATAGTATTTTATATTGATGACAAAAGGCAGAAAAGTATTACTAGAGTCGTCTAGAAAACTTCTCATTAATTCTATATAATGCGATAGAGAAACTGACCTTTAATAGCATTTTGTGTGAAATACAGCAGATAATTGGAAATAAAACTCAGATTTTGGATACATAGAAATAATGTTTATTTACCTGTTATGATGGCATGTAGAGACTAGAAAAATCGCGATCTCTTTATAATCATATGTTTATACCGATGCTGTTTTATATTATAAAAATTCAAACATATCTCCAATAATAGTCAAATCATCATACTAGTAGATGTAGATGTCTATTTAAATATTCTTTATTATTCATTCCTCTCTCTGTCAATATGCAATCATCTTTCAATGTTTTATTATTAGATGCTTAAATAAAAACTCTCGTTTATGATTGATACGGTATGTCATAATCGACATGTCGAAAAAATATAAAAATTTAGCGTTTAGCTTCAGAATGCAATAAAGATTCGAATGAATTATCAGGTATATTTTGAAAATAAGAATATTCCCCTAATAATTAATAACTAAGATCTTTTTTATATAAGACTTCGTGCATAGTTTATGAAAAAGATGCTTTCTGAATACTTAGCGATATATACTTGCATATTCTATGTACAGGCATAAATAAACATGATCTTGATTGGTTCGACGGCTTGTCTTTCGAAAGCGACCATTCTTGAAATGATTTTCTTTTCGACAATCACAATAAGAATGGATTTTTCGTCGCCTGACGATAGCCTTATCAAAACCAAACATACATTATACGGAGAGATAAGTAGTTTTCAACACTTTCTCGCTGAAAGGCTGTTCTTTTCTGACAAAATAAAATGCAGAATATATGCTTGACTAGGAGATAAGATTGCTTAATTCTTGCAGAAGTTGGTCATTATCTGGACTTTATTCAATATTTTGTATTTATTGTTCAGTCTGTATTATAGCAATGTAGTTGACATCTTGACTTACAATATATATTATATAATATTGATTATGCTTCTGATTATCTATGATACTTCATACCAGGTAAAAAATGTTTATTTTTAAGAAATAGTATGCCGCCTCAAGTTTTGAACATTCTGCATGCATAGAATGAATGAATCAGCCTTTTTTGATTTCATTTTGCTTCTGAAATTTGATAAGTTATTTGGACATATGTAGAATTTTCAAATTCCATATTAACTTTATTATCAACTTAATATTCTTTTGAAAGAAGCTGAAATATATTGAATTCGTTTATCTTTTATTCTTTGGTATGATTAAAAGTACTTCTACAAGATTGAAACCTATTTTTGTGACTCTCTCAAGATTTGTCAAAATCAATTAGTTAGATCTGTAACCCTTTTAGGACGGTAGTATAAGGGTTATACCACCTAGTTTTCCGTTGGGAAAAATATTTCATTTACACTTAAGTATTAAAACTTAGTATACATAGAGGTCATGGAGTGCACCAACTGTCATGTTATACATATCTTTTCTTGATGCTGTATGTATTCTTCTCAGACATTTGTTTTTCTTTCTATGATTGTACAATGAGGGTGGGGGTG